GGAATGTGTTGTTCGGAGAGGTTTATGACCTGGGATTTTATTTGTGCTTGTAGGAGAGGTGAGAGATGTCCGCTTTCTGGTTTTGAACCCCTGCTCCTGATCTCAAGGGTCTAGGCACCATCACGGAGTATCGTTCGCTGTGACTTGCCTGGAAGACCCTCTCTTTCCGTATTTCTCCTGTGTAGTCAAGTGGCTCTCCACATGGGGGCAGTAAAGAATAATTTCCTCTCGTTTTCGCAACTGTCCCCGTAAAGTGATGTCAAGTCGCAGCCGACTTATGGCACCCCCCCAGGAAAGGGTCATCAAGGCAAGTGAGAAGCAGAGGTGGTTTGCCGTGCCTTCCTCTGCAAAGTCTTCCTTGGTGGTCTCCCATCCAGGTACCATCTAGTCCAGCATCCTGTTTCACACGTGGGCCAACCAGTTCCTCTCGAGGGCCAACAGCGGGGCATAGAGGCCAGGGCCTTCCCCCGACGTTGCCTCCCGGCGCTGGGATTCAGAGGTTTATTGCTTCAGGAGCAGTAGCAGATGGACTTCTGGCACCTTTATGAAGCCAGTTCATTGTGGCGGCAGTGTCCCCGAACCAGGGCCCGGATCTGTTTTCCTGGCTAACCCTTTCCTTTGTTTCCCTTTTGTCGAATGGGGTGGCGGTCACCGCTTAGGTGCTTGAAAGCTTCAAAATCATGGACTACAGCCTCCTGCTGGGGGTCCATAACATCGACCAGCAGGAACGGGAACGACAGGCCGACGGAGCCCAGAGCGTCTCTGACGAGAAGCGGCCCGTGGGCCAGAAGGCGCTGTACTCCACGGCCATGGAGTCTATCCAGGGTGGGGCTGCCCGGGGAGAGTCCATCGAGACAGACGACACGTAAGTGGAAACGCTGCCTTGAACCGTGCTGCTTGCGTGCTGATGTGAACTTTTCAGATATCACTGCCTGTCTCACGTCTGTCTGTCCTTGCTTATCCCACCTTTCCTTCAAGAAGATCCGGACACTGTACGTGGTTCTTCCATTCTACGTTTTATCCTCACGACAGCCCTGTGAAGTAGGTCAGGCAGGCTGTGCATGAGCATGTCTGTGTGTGTCTGGCCCAAAATCATGAGTGAATTTCTTGGCTGAGGGAGGATTTGAACCTGGATCTTTCTCTAGCCACAACCTCATACTTGCTGTCAGGTAATTGAATGTGGCAGCCAATATTAGCTAAGGCATTATGCAGGGGGGTTGGACTAGATGACCCTGGAGGTCCCTTCCAACTCTGTGATTCTATGATTCTATGTGATGGAAGGAAGTGGGGAAGGTGCCTTTCCTCCCTAAGATTAAAGATTCCCTGGAAAGAGCCTGGTAACTCCTTCTAGGCTGATAACCAGGGGTGGCCAAACTTGCTTAACATAAGAGCCACATAGAATAAACACCAGATGTTTGAGAGCTGCAAGACCAGAAGAAATATTACACACGTTTTTATTGAAAAATATGCAGATTTGCTTTTTATTAACATTAAATGAGACTGCCAAAAAATAAAACCAAAAAGGGTAAAAACAGATATTGATGATGATGTTTATTTGTCCAATAATATTTGTAGGCTTGATGGGGGGTGCCTTGAGAATGCATTTAAAGTTGCTTTCTTTCTCTGCTCCCCCCTTGCCTCAGGCCTACCCAGGGAGGGGAACACTAGCTGGGGAAGGGAAGACCGATCGGGGAGGCATGCCTCTCCTTCGCTTCCCCAGCCGCCCAGCCGGGAGCCACACAATCAATGTTCCCTCTAAGCTGTGGAGTCCTGTGAGCAAAAATTCTACTTTGTGAGCTACCGGCATTAAAGCTGTGAGCAGGCAGGTGCTTTGGTTACTGCATGAATTAGCAACATAAAATGGCAGCTAGCTGACACCCTCCCATCCTAACCAGGCGATCGCCGCCGCCATGGGAAGGGGCCGGGGAGGGGAGCAGGGCCCCGTGGCAGCTGAGCCCCCCCTCCTGGCAAGAGAGAAAAGAAAGGCGGCGGGGATTGAGGGTCTCTGCCCACCCGCCCCTTTCACGCTCTCCCTTGCTCTGCGCCCGGCCGGGGTGCAGCAGCAGGAGGCGGAGCCGCAGCTCGCCCGTCCTCGCCCCTCAGGGGGGAGGAGGCAGAGGCAGCATGGTGGCAGCCAGCGGGGACTCGCCGCTGCCAGCAGAAGCAGGAGGAGGCAGAGGCGGCATGGCAGCGGCCAGCAGGGACTCGCTGCAGCCATGGGAAGGGGCCGGAGAGGGGAGCAGGGCCCCGCGGCAGCTGAGCCCCTCCTCCCGGCGAGAGAGAAAAGAAAGGCGGCGGGGATCGAGGGTCTTTGCCCGCCCCCCCTCTTTCTCTGCGCCCGGCCGGTGTGCAGGAGGTGGAGCCGCAGCTTGCCCGCCCTTCCCCCTCCCCCTCAGGGGGGAGGAGGCAGAGGTGGCATAGCGGCAGCCAGCGAGGACTCGCCGCCGCCAGCAGAAGCAGGAAGACGTCCAGCCTGGTCGCAGGAGGTGGCACCACAGCTCGCCTGCCCTTCCCCTCCCCCCTGGGGGGGGGAGGAGGAGGCGTCAGCAAAAGGGTCTCCAGGCCCCACCGGGAGGTTGGCATCTGCGCCTCGCCTATGGCACAGAAACACCTCGAGCCGGCCCTGATCCCAGGGATATACAGGGTACTGAAACAAGGCCCAAAAAAGTATTTCTGGAAAAAAGAAAGTTTCTTATAAACAGGGAGACAATGTAAAAGGCTAGTTGGATTCAAAAAGGGGTGGGAAAAGGGGGCAAAACAAAATACAGGGAAAAGGCATACAAACTCACAGCACACAGATTTCTGAATAAAATCAGTACAGACAGTTTATATGAACTAGTTACACTCACCCTAGAATAGTTTCCTCAGAGAATATACAGAGTTCCTTGGAGTAACAATATGTTGGAGGAGTCTTTAACCCCTAGCCAGTCTCCTGTGGACCGCAGTTTCTTCCCCCCCCCCCGTTTATTTTCCATATTTTCAACAAGAATACAAACATTTCATTTTCTTAGATTACATAGATTTTTAGAGTCACTAAGTCAAATTGCATGTCCTACACAAAATAATAGCTTTTTGCTTATTATTAAACTGTGACATGTTTTATCCAGTTATATACCCTTAACCATCTTTTATTCTGTAATTTGTGGTCTTTACCTTGAAGTAATAAACTCAAGTTATCCATTTGTGCTAACTCTAAAAGCTTTGCTATTAAGTCCTCTTTTGAGGGTATTTTATCCGTCTTCCAGTTTTTGGCCACTAGTATTCGCGCAGCTGTTATAATATATACTAATAAATTTATATCTTGCCTTACATAGCCTTTTGGGATTATATTCAATAAATAAGTTTCGGGTGTTAACAGGAGATCTAGATTCAATATTTCTAAAATAACTTTATGTACCATTTCCCAGTATTTTTGTATTTTGGTGCATTTCCACCACAGTTTCATACTGTTCTCCTGGAGACAAGGGAAAATCCAAAATGCCCCAGATATTTGTGGTCAGTGGAATCTGATCTAGGCCTTCCTTCTTTCTAAGACTGACAAACTGGTTTGGCCAGTCCAGTGCAGAGCCCCATCTCTAATGTCAGAAGCTTACGGTACCAATCAGAAAATTACCAAAATGATAGTTGTTAGTGACCAAATAGTTGTTAGTGACTCTGAACTTCTATGACACACCCTGGTGGTCTCTTCCAGTTTTGTTCTCCTGTTGCCTAAAAAAGGATTAAGTTTGGCAAGGTGGCCCAATGTGGCCCCATTTAATAAACACTTAAAAAAAAAAAAAAAAAAGGATGAGAGAAAACAAAGGATACTATAAGAAGCTTCCTTTTCTGGATGCCATGAGATGATTGTGGCCCTGTGCCTTCTGTCTTCTGTTCCCTTCTCTTCAGGATGGGTGGCATTCCAGCTGTGAATGGCAAAGGGGAGCGCTTGCTGCTGCACGTGGGCATCATAGACATTCTCCAGTCCTACAGGTAGGTTTGCTGTGTGGCTGGACCGCTACAACACGCTCTGCTTGGAGCTCCCCTTAAGAACATAAGAACATAAGAGACGCCAATGTTGGATCAGGCCAAAGGCCCATCCAGTCCAACACTCTGTGTCACACAGTGGCCAGAAATACCAGTGCCATCAGGAGGTCCACCAGTGGGGCCAGGACATTAGAAGCCCTCCCACTGTTGCCCCTCCCCAAGCACCAAGAAGACGGAGCATCACTTGCCCCAGAGCCCCTATCTATACCTTGTGGCTAACAGCCACTGATGGACCTCTGCTCCATATGCAGAGTGCGTCCAGAAGCTTCACCTCGTTTGCTTACTGGTATGAGCTGTTATGAATGTACAAGTGGAAGCCCACAAGACTTCGGGTG